ACAGAGTAGAACTGCCCATAGGGTTTTCTTGGCTGTCATTTTTAAGCAGGTCTTTCTCCAGTACAGCCACGGGGTGGGTTCAAACCATCAACCTTTCTTGTTAGCATCTGAGCATCGTATGACCAGCAAGGAAGAGGCTGGTGTGGCCACTTTCTCCCCGCCCTTGAAGTATAGCTAGATGTTGAAGAATCTCATCTGTGCTTTCAGAGAGCTCAAGCGTTGGGTAGAAAAACTCAGGCATTTGACTGCTGATCAGAAGTCTGGTGGTCCAAACCCACCAGCCACTTCTCGGAAGGAAAATAGGGCAAGCTACTTCCATAGTTATACTGCCTTGGAAACCTAAGGAGGTTTCCATAGTTAAGCTGCCTCAGAAACCTAGGGAGGGGTCACTGTAAGTCAGATCTGACTCGATGGCAGTGAGTTTGGTTTTTTTTTTTATTTTTGTGTTTTTTTTCCTGGGATTACTATTTAGCAAAGTACATCTGGTGAAGGATAAGTATCAAATTTTCACAAGTAACAACAGCTACCATTTGTTGGAACTTCCTCTGGGCCAACCACTTCATGTGTATTGTCTCATTCATTTTTCACAACTACCCTGGGTGGTAGTTAATATTATTGTTTCCATCTTTACAGTCAGGGAAACAGTGAGGTTAAGTAAGGGTCCCTGAGTGGTGCAGTTGGTTAAGCGCTCAACTCCCAACCAAAAGGTAGATGGTTTAAACTCACCCAGAGATGCCTCAGAAGATAAGCCTGCTGGAGAGAACAGTCATGGGAGAAGGAAGGGCTGCCTATGCATAGTATGGAGGGATGGACACTGGGAAGAGGTAACTATGGGGAGGAAGTGGGAGGGGAGCTGTTGCATTGTGGTAAACTGTGGTGAATGACATGTGACAAAGTATGTGTGAACTGCTGTATGGAAAGCGAATTTGCTCTGTAAATCTTCACCCAAATCACAATAAATAATAATAATAATTAAAGAAAAAAAAGAAGATAGGTCTGGCAGTTGACTTCTGAAAGGCAACAGCCTTGAAAACCCTGTGGAGCAGTTTTACTCGCACCCATGAGGTCATCAGGAGTCAGAACCAACTTGGCAGCAACCAGCAGCCACCACAATGTTAAGTCATTTCCCCAGAGCAGACAACTAGTCTGTGACAGCACCTTTTGTTCTTTGTGTTTTGTTTGGTCATCAGTAATCTGTTGTTGTTGAGTGTTTCACTACTTCTACTTTTTTATCATTACAAATAATGTGTCATGCTGAGAGGTACATCCTTGTTTCTAAATCTTTGTCCCTATCCATGGCTATTTCCATAGGATAAACTGCCCGAAGTAAAACTTCTGAGTCTGAGACCAGAACCAGTTTTAAAACTTTTTATGTGTGGTGCCAAATTTCTGTCCCAAAAAGTTCACTAATTTACTTAGGCACTACGCCACCAGAGCTACCAACAATCTTTCTCATTTTCCCAAGGTAAGTCTTTGATGGGGTTGTTGTTGGGATCTCACAAGTCAATTCCAACTTGTAGCAACCTCATGTGACAGGGTCCAGCTGCTCCATAGGGTTTTGAGGCTATAATCTCCATGGGAGCTCTGGTAGTGTAGTGCCTAAGGGACTTGACTGCTAACCAGAAGGCTGGCAGTTCAAACCCACCAGCCACTCCACGGAAGGAAGATGGGGCAATCTACTTCCGTAGTGATACTGCCTCAGAAACCCAACGAGGGGTCACTATGAGTCGGGTCTGACTTGATGGCACATAACAACAACAACAAATCTCCATGGAAGCTGATCACCAGGTCTGCCTTCTGAGAAGCAGCTGGTGGGTTCAAACCACCCTCCTTTAGGTTAATGGCTGAGCACTTACCCATCACGCCACCAGAGCTCCGTTTGATGAGGTCAAGTCCCAGGAAATTTGCTAGTTGAGCAATTACTATATATGTAATGTGTGTGTGTGTGTAACTCAATTATTGTTGTAAAATCATCTTCAACATATGACACTAAAGGGAGGGTGTTTCTTGCAACTTTTTGTGAATACTGAAGTCACAACTCTGGTGTAAAATGTGCTAGGGTTTTCTCACACACTAATTCTCATGGGAAACCCAGGGACAGATGAAAACATCTTGAGACCTGCATTCCAATACCTGAGCTGTATTTCAATTGCCTTGACTAATTTAAACCCAGGTATTCTCTACTGGGAATAAACTCAACTTTTCTAAAGAAAGTGACTTATATATTTTTAAGATGTGAGGAGTATCTCACATTAGCAAAGGTGAGTTAAGTTGTTTTTGTTGCTGTTAGTTGGCATCACGTCTGTTCTGACTCATAACGACCTTAATGTACAACTGAGTGAAACATTACTTGTCCTATGCCATCTTCATCGGAAGGAAGATCGGGCGATCTACTTCCATAGTGATACTGCCTCGGAAACCCAAGGAGGGGTCACTATGAGTCGGGGCCGACTCGATGATACAGAACAACAACAAAAGCCGTCTTCATAACCACTGATGTATTTGAGTCCATTGTTGGGGCCGTTGTATCAGTCTACCTCATTGAGGGTCTCCTGCACGTTTGCTGACCCTATACTTTACCAAGGTCCCTGGTTGCATACATGGTTTATGCTTGGCTACTAATTGAAAGGTTAGCCATTCAAGCCTATACCCAGTGGCATTGCAGAAGAAAGACTTGGTAATCTAGTTCCGTAAAGACTACAGCCAAGAAGGTTCTATGGAGCTTAGTTCTGCCCTGTACCACATGGGGTCGCCTTGAGTCATAACCCACTCAACAGCAATGGATTTCTTTCTTTCTTTTTTGCTACGTTACCGAACATCATGATGTCTTTTTCTTGAATTGGTCCGTCCTGATGACATGCCCAAAGGAAGCCAGTTGCAGTCTCACCATCCTCGCTTTTAAGCAACAGCCTGGTTCTGTTTCTTCTAAGACTGGCTTGTCCATTCTCCTTGCAGTCTACAGTGGATTAAATAACCTTCCTGCATTTAGCTCCTGGGTAGGTTAGTCCAGGCACTCTGACCCTCCCGGCGTCTCGCTCTCTCCACAGGATCTGCAGGCACAGGACCGCGCTCACCGCATAGGCCAGCAGAACGAGGTGCGTGTGCTGAGGCTGTGCACCGTGAATAGCGTGGAGGAGAAGATTCTCGCCGCTGCCAAGTACAAGCTGAACGTGGATCAGAAGGTCATCCAGGCAGGCATGTTTGACCAGAAGTCTTCAAGCCACGAGCGGCGGGCATTCCTGCAGGCCATCTTGGAGCATGAGGAGGAAAATGAGGTATTAGAGAAAACCAGGGTTATAAAACCCAACATGACTTCTTGTCGTTAAAGGGTTATCAGTAACCTCTTTGCTCCTAATGAGCTTCTTGGGCAGGTATTAGTTAAAATGAATACGTGAGCTGCTGTCTTCTCTTCCTATCACTTCCTGGGCCTGCGCCATCTCCACAGTCCTTGCTGTGCGTGTGCCCGTCGTCGCAGCCACTGTGTCAGTCCATCTTGTTGAGGGTCGTCCTCTTGTTCGCTGACCCTCCACTTTACCAAGCATAATCTTGTTCCAGGGAGTGGTCCCTTCTGACAACATGACCAAAATAGGTGAGACAAAGTCTGGCCATTCGCGCTTCCAGGAGCATTCCAGCTGCCCTTTGACCAGGACAGATTTGTTTGGTCCTCTGGCAGTCCATGGTACTTTGCATATTCTTTACCTCTGGTAGCATAGTGGCTAAGACACTTGCCTGCTAACCAGACGGCTGGTGGTTCAAACCCACCAGCCACTCCTCGGAAGGAAGGTTGGGCAATCCTACTTCCGTAGTGATACTGCCTCGGAAACCCAAGGAGGGGTCGCTATGAGTCGGGGCCGACTCGACGGCACATAACAACAACAACAACAACAATTCAAAGGCATCCACTCTTCATTGGTCTTCCTTATTCATTGTCCAGCTTTCACATGCATATGAGGCAATTGAAAATACCAGGGCTTGGGTTAAGAACATCTTCCAAGGGACATCTTTTCTCCTTAGCACTTTAAAGAGATCCCTTGCAGCAGATTTGCCCAGTGCAATACGACATCTCATTTCTCCACTGCTGCTTCCATTGTGCTGCTTGTAGATCCAGGTAAAATGAAATCCTGACAACTTCAGAGTTTTCTCCATTTATTGTGATGTTGCTTATTGGTCCAGTTGTGAGGATTTTTTGTTTCTTTATGTTAAGGTGTAATCCATACTGAAGACTGTGATCTTTGCTCTTCATCAATTGCCCAAAAGCAAAGAAGGGAAGACAGGACAGGGTAGAAAAATCTAGACAAAAGCAAACAGGGATCACAGAGCAGAAATGGAAAGAGTGGTCACACATGATGGGGAAGGCAGCCAATGCCGTGGAACATTTCATGTACAAACTATCAAATGCAAAACTAATTTGCTCTGTAAATGTTCACTTAAAGCTCAATAATTTTTTTTTTAATTAAAATAAAGGCTATATGTCATACCTAGTGGTACAAACAGATAATGCACTCACTGCTAGCCAAAAGGTTGGAGGTTTGAGTCAACTCAGAAGTACCTCAGAAGAAAGGCCTGGCAGTCTTTTTCAGAAAAATCAGCCATTGAAAACTCCATGGAGCACAGTTCTACTCTGACACACATGGGGTTGCCATCAGAGCATGCTAGATGGCAACTGTCCTAAAGTTATATATTTGCCACATATACATGATTCTTATGACCTTGTTCTGTGCCTAATCACAAAGTTATACATACTTCTCTTTTTCCTAAGGCTTTGAAAATAAGCATTTATATTTGGGATAAGTTAGTGGAATCAGCAGGATCCATGCTAGGTACTTTTTCCTGTGATTGCCTCATTGAAATCATACATCTTCACTGTGAAGTAGAGGCCATGCGCACTCTGCAGATGAGGTCATTAAGGTATGGAGTTGTTAAGTCACTTGTTTTAGAAGTAAAGGAACCGAATTATACCCAGGAGATCCAGGGTAGCTGACAGCACTCCCTGTGTCCTTCAACTGATTTAGCCCTGGACAATGGTTTGCATAGCTTATAGGATAGTAATGGGGAGTGTGAGACTCAGGGCCCTTCTCTTTTTTCTCTGTCATGAGCAGTGTGACCCCTGTGATCTGGGGAATGGATCCACCTCACTTGTTGGTACCTTGCCCAGTCGTCCAGCCTCTTTTCTAATGCCTGTGCATTCATTCTGTCCTTGACCCCAGGAAGAAGATGAGGTGCCAGACGATGAGACTCTGAACCAGATGATTGCTCGACGTGAAGAAGAATTTGATCTTTTCATGGTAATGCTGCAGACACTCGCGACCACAAATAGATGCCTCTCCTCCACTCCCTCTTCTATTAATACATGATGTTTAGAGCCGTGTGCCTGGCAGAAACTTATTTCTGAAGCCTGTGCCCTTTCCTCAGCTCAGAGGCTGCAGATGGGCTGGATTTAGCCTGCAGACGTACTTTGTTTGGCCAACGTGGTATTTTTTTTTTTTTGAATTTTGAATTAGTTGCCAGCATACAAAGAATCCTGATTTCTGGCTTCTCTTGACAAATGAGATCAGGTCCTCATGTCTGTGGAAACAGGGGAGGGAAGCAGCAGCTGTGTGCTCTAGGCAGGGTCCAGTCCACCACTCCTGGGTCAGGTCTCATCGCAAGCCAACATCCTTTGGGGAACTTGCCTGGCACCTGTAGGCTTGTGAGGTTGTAACTATACCCTGATTGTCTCCTTACTGGGTCACAACAGAAGTGAGCCCTATAGGGCGTGGGGAGTCCCTGAGGCATACAAAAGATTGGAGGTTTGAGTCCACTCAGAGGCACCTTGGAAGAAAAGCCAGTCTACTCCCCAAATATCAGTCATTGAAAACTTTTAGAGCCCAGTTCTACACTGACATACATGGGGTCACCGTAAGTCAGAGTCAGCTTGACGGCAACATTTTTTGGGGGCGGGGGTAGTATAGGGGAAGATTTCTGAGCTGCACAAAGGGGATGCGTTCAGCTGTGAACTGAAAGGTTAGCAGTTACAACCCACCCTGTGGTGCCATGGAAGAAAGGCCTGGTGATCTTCTGCCATAGAGATTATAGCTAAACATATGCTTACTGTAAAGTTGTTTTTTTTTTTTT